CCAACGATGCCCGCACTGAATCCTGAAGCTGCCTATGGCTAGAAACTAGTTGATTAGAGGAAACCTTACATTAAGTTGAACTAAAATCAGCTTGACCACTGAAAGTTTAAAGAACTCTGTAAGAGCTTGAAGCCCACCAGCTAGTTTTATGAATGAAGACACAAGTAGATAAAGTGAGGTTTTGTTCTTTTTGCAGCTCTGAGCAGAAAAGCATTCTCTTTCTAGGCTTGCACTGTTGCTGGCAGCTGAGTTCTTAGAGTGTTGCCCTCCCCCATCCTATGAATCAGGCCCTCTCCTCTCCCTTGCCAGCCGCTGATCTTTGCATATGCAACATTTGTGACTCCCAGAACTGAAAACAAGATTCTTACTGTACTCTAGCCCATTGTGAAACGGGAATATTTGTGAGTCAAATCAGAATCATTAGACCTGGAAAGGCCAAGCACTCAAGCTACATGCCCAGCAGAGCGTGGGTAAAATGCAGCAGGCGTGATGCTTTCGTTTTGATGAGGTTCCTCAATGGACACATGGACAATTTTGGAACACTGTGCCAGGCCCAAAGGAAGTACTTGCTGATGCTTGCTAAGTTGCTGCAGGTCGAAAATTTTTAAACCCCGTCATAAGAAGGTGATGAAGAGAGAGGGGAAAGGAAGAGAGAGAGAAAGAAAGAGGAAGCAGCACTCTGAACCTCATGTGGTGACATACACCTGTAATCCCTGCATAACAGGAGGATCAGGAGTTCAGGGCTATCCCCAGCTACATATGTTTGATGGCAGCCTGGACTACATGAACTGGTCTCAAAACAAAACCGTTAAGCCAGCTTCTACCAAGTGCTTTGGTGCACGCTTGTAATCCAAGCACTAGGGAGAGTGAGGTCAGAGGGTGGTGAGCCTGGGCTACATTAATGAGGAGTTGAAGGGCTCTAGTGGAATGCTTGTCTAACACAGACAGCACACATGGCTCTGGCGTCTTCTCCAGTGTGTGTCGTGGTGGGTTTTCTGGAAATGGTGAGAAGGTCTCTCCCATCAGCAGCTCTTCCAGGTTGTCAAGCAGGAGGAAGCATGGCTGAAGGGGTTCCATTGAGTCACTCACCTCAGGACCCTCAGAGAAGCCGGAGGCTTCTGAAACTGCTGCAGTCACCAACATAGTTAATTTGATAATACTGTCTTAGGAATTTAAGGTCAATGATGTATCTAGATTTGGGTTTTTGAGATTTCTTTTTAAATTTTTATATTTTGAAACAGGGTCTCAGGTAGCCCAGGCTGGCCCAAAATCCTCACTGTGCAGCCATGGTTGACTGTCTTAGCTAAGGTATCTATTGCTGTGAAGAGAGACAGAACATAACCACAGCAACTCTTATAAAGGAAAAACATTTGATTGGGGTGGCTTATATTTTTAGGGGCTTAGTCCATTATCATCCTGATGTGACGTGATGGCGTACAGGCAGACATACTGCCAGAGGAGCTGAGAGTCCTACATCTTGACCGCATCAGGAAAAGCAACAGGAAGTGGTCTGACTCTACACTGAGTGAAGCTTGAGTCAAGGAAACCTCAAAGCCCTCCCCCACAGTGACACACTTCCTCCAACAAGGCCACACCGCCTAATGGTGCCACTTCCTATGAGCATATGGGGACCAGTTACATTCAGACTACCACAATGACCTTGAACTTCTTATCCTCCCGATTCCCCCTGCCTCCACCCTACAATTGCTGGAACTAGGTAGGCTTGTGCCCCCATACCCTGCTGGATAAAAAGCCTTTAGAAAGCATCACCTCCCTTAGGCCAGCAAGAGAGCTCAGGAAGCAAAAGTGCTTTTCACCAAGCCTGACAACCTGAGTTCAATCCCTGGGAGCCACAGTAGTTGGAAGGCGAGAACTGACTACACATTGCCTTCTGACCCCTGCTTGCATATATATACATATATGCGTGCACATATGCATACACACAATAAATAAAATGTAATTAAAATTTAAATTACCTTCCTTTATGTGGAAAAAAATGTTTTTAGAAACCACCCAGAAGTGCTTTGAGAAGCTGCCAGAAGAACCAATAAGTACTACAGCAAAATCAGAAATGCCCTTGTCTTCTTACATTATTCAGATAGACTCTTTAGGGGCCCATAAGACAGCTCAGCAGTGGGGGCTGGAGAGATGGCTCATCGACTAAGAGCCTGGCTACTCTTCCAGAGGGCCTGGGTTCGATTCTCAGCACCCACATGGCAGTTTAAAGCTGTCTATGCTACAGTTCCAGGGGACCTGATATCCTCATACACACATGCAAGTGAAACACCAGTGCTCAAAAAATGAAAATATATAATTTTAAAAAGTCTCAGCAGTGAAAGTGCTTGCCAGGTAGACTTGACAATCAGTTCATTCCCCGAAGCCCATGGGGTAGAAGGTGAGAACTGACTCCGTAGGGATGTCCTCCAGGCTCTACACAGATGCTCACACACACACACACACACACACACACACACACACACACACACACACACAGAGGCACTCAGGCACACACACACACTAAATTAAAATTAAAAAGACAAAAACAGGTCATTAGCATAATGTTCAGGCAATGGCTACTGCCATGTGCTGAGTTGTTCTATTTTCCTCTGGGTTTTTTTTTTTTTTTTGACAGGGTCTGATTTAGCCCAGACTGTTACATAGTTACATAGCCCATTGTTACATAGTGAGGCTGACTTTGAGTCCCTTCCTGGATCTCCTGCTTCCATGTAAACTCCACCATGCCCAGCTGTTGTTGCTGTTTAAGACAAAACGCTCACCAGATGCAGGTATAAGCCACTCACTCACTCAGCCAAAGCGCTCTCAAAGGAGATGCCCTGAACTCCAGCGGGCCCACAGACTACCTGAGGAAGACAGGGCCAGCAGCCTTCTCTCCTGCGCCATCTGAGGGGAGCACATTTCTGCAGCCTCATAGAATAGTGTAGCAACTGTACTTTGGCTCAGTGAGAATTATTTTTAAAGATTTGTATAGAAAACCTTTTCACTTTCTTAAATATTACATTCAGGATTTTTTTCCTGATAACACATCATGAAATAACGGGATCAGGGAGGAATATGACTCATTTGCAGTGTCAGTGTTGGAGAAGGGAGGAAGGCAGGCCCAGGTGAGTGAGTGCTGTGTCCTTCAGGCTGGCAGTTCTGCTGCCCTCTATAGCAGTAAGGAGTCCTTCTCTCCTTCCTTTTACTTTTTGTGTTTCTTTTGTTCCACCTTTTGAGACAGGGCCTTATTCTGTAGCCCAGGCTGGACTAGGACTCACTATGTAGTTCAGGCTAGCTTCAAACTCATGGCAAGCCTGCCTCACCCTCCCAAGTACTAGGATTACAGGGATGAGCCACTACACTCTACAAGTTTTTTTTTTTCCTTTCGGTGGTCCTGCGGGTGGAGCTCAGGGTCTGGAGCATGCTGCATAAGTGGCTGCCACTACCCTACATCCTCAGCCCTTGGAATTGTAAACCATCCAACTCAGATGCTTCTAGAAACACTTGCCAGAAGCCAAAGGGACATCGAATAGGGTCAAAGTTAGTGCTTTTGCTAACGACCTGAGCAGGCTTCCTGAGGTATGTCACTAACTCAATGAAAAACAGCATTGCTTGAAAAATTGCAGACTGTTGGGGAATATTATTTTCAGGTGTGTGATTTCTGTTTATGCTGTATTTGTCTAACTCTGTGAAGCTGTGATTCTTTGCCTGTCTAAAACACCTGATGGTCCTAATAAGGCACTGAATGGCCAATACAAGGCAGGAACAAGGATAGGTGGGGAGGTTGGGGGGACTGGCAGCAGAGAGTATAAACAGAAGGAGAAATCTGGAATAAGGAAGAGCAAGAAGAGAATAAGGGAAGGAGGATGTGAGGAGCCAGACACAGAGTAAGAGTAAGATATACAGAAGTAAGAAAAGGAAAAGGCCCAGGGACAAAAGGTAGTTGGGATAATTTAAGAAAATCTGGCAAGGGGCTGGAGAGATGATTCAGAGATTAAGAGCACTGGCTACTCTTCCAGAGGTCCTGAGTTCAATTCCCAGCAACCACATGATGGCTCACAGCCATATGTAATGAGATCTGGTGCCCTCTTCTGACATGCAGGGATACATGCAGACAGAATACTGTATACATAATAAATAAATAAATAAATACTTTTTTAAAGAAAAACTGACAAGCAACAAGCTAATCTAAGAATAACTAAGAATAAGCCTCCATGTGTGATTTATGTGGGAACTGGATGGCAGCCCCCAAAAAGAGCAAAACCAACCAACAGCAGCAGCAGCAGGCCACACTGTGAACCCAGCACGCAGGGGGCACCCGCAGGAAAATGGAGAGATCCAGGTCAGCCTGGGCTATGAAGCGAGATCCTGCCTCAAAATAATCAGGAATGTAGCTTGGTAGTAGAGCTCTTGCCCAATACACACAAGACCCTGGGTTCCATCTCCAGCACTGCAAAAATAATATTAATACCATAATAAATAAAGTCTGTTTAAAAACAAAGAATATAAAACCTAGACACCAATTCTTACCAACTTTCACCTTGTGGACTTGAACTTGGACTAGTTCCTTTAACCTGAGTCTCTCAGCCATTTGCAGGATACTGGCTCTGATCACTGATCACCATTTATGGATGGATACTGGTTCGTTTTGTTTGTCTATTTGTCCCATTGCTGCCATCAGATTGGCCCCTAAGCAAGTTTGTGGGGCATTTTCTCTATTAGTGATTGTTGTAGGAGGGCCCAGACCAGGGAATAACTTCCAGTAGGAACAATCAAAAGAATGAGAAGCAGCTGGACCGTGGTGGCACACACCTTGATCCCACTACTCGGGAGGCAGAGGCAGGTGGATCTCTGTGAGTTCAAGGCCAGCTTGATCTACAAAGTGAGTTCCAGGACAGCCTCCAAAGCTACACAGAGAAACCCTGTCTTGAAAAAAAAAGCAAATAAATACATTGTAAGTGGTTGGTGACATGACTCTGACCTTAGTGACCTTCCCATCTTAGAGCACACAGCGCTCTGTGGACACTCGGGACTGTGAAGGAGATCACTGGATGCTGGGAAGCAGGCAGCCCAGGAGTCCCCAGGCTGCTCTCTGAACCTCTGCATGTTCCCGTCTCAGTGTCTCCTTCCACGTGGTGACACTCTAGAGGAAGTTTCAGTCTAGGAGCAGCACATCTCTGTGATTGTGGTCGCAGCAAAAGGCGATTTCTCCTAATGCCCCTTCCCCAACAACTGTCTCTTAAGTCTCTCCCAATATCATTATATCATGTTCTCTCCTTTAATCCAGTTTGTCATGTTGGTTCCACCCCCTTGTTAGAGATGGGTTGTCAGGGCTACTGGTTTATTTCCTACCTTTTTTTTTTTTATTTGTCAATCAGATTTTTGCTTATGTGGTACCAGCTCTGAAGACTACTTACAAGTCTCCATTGCAACCAACCATTTGTCATTGCTGTCTTATCTCACACATCTCAAAATGTCAATTTATCTTCTTAATTTTTAAAATAAATTTATATCTAAGTATTCTCTGTTACATTTTATTTAAAAGTTTTACATTATCCCCTACCATGATCACCACCCTTGTCACTCCACCCGAGGACAGCACAGAGCCCTGCACACCTTGAACAGGGAGCACTGTCCACCCTCACCATGACCACACAGGGAGCACTCTCCACCCTCACCATGACCACACAGGGAGCACTGTCCACCCTCACCATGACCACACAGGGAGCACTATCCACCCTCACCATGACCACACAGGGAGCACTCTCACCCCTCACCATGACCACACAGGGAGCACTATCCACCCTCACCATGACTACACAGGGAGCACTGTCCACCCTCACCATGACTACACAGGGAGCACTCTCACCCCTCACCATGACCACACAGGGAGCACTCTCACCCCTCACCATGACCACACAGGGAGCACTATCCACCCTCACCATGACTACACAGGGAGCACTGTCCACCCTCATCTTGACTACACAGGGAGCACTGTCCACCCTCATCTTGACTACACAGGGAGCACTGTCCACCCTCACCATGACCACACAGGGAGCACTCTCACCCCTCACCATGACTACACAGGGAGCACTGTCCACCCTCATCTTGACTACACAGGGAGCACTCTCCACCCTCATCATGACCACACAGGGAGCACTATCCACCCTCACCACGACTACACAGGGAGCACTGTCCATCCTCACCATGACTACACAGGGAGCACTCTCACCCCTCACCATGACCACACAGGGAGCACTGTCCACCCTCATCTTGACTACACAGGGAGCACTCTCCACCCTCACCATGACCACACAGGGAGCACTATCCACCCTCACCATGACTACACAGGGAGCACTGTCCACCCTCACCATGACTACACAGGGAGCACTCTCACCCCTCACCATGACCACACAGGGAGCACTCTCACCCCTCACCATGACCACACAGGGAGCACTATCCACCCTCACCATGACTACACAGGGAGCACTGTCCACCCTCATCTTGACTACACAGGGAGCACTGTCCACCCTCACCATGACCACACAGGGAGCACTCTCACCCCTCACCATGACTACACAGGGAGCACTGTCCACCCTCACCATGACCACACAGGGAGCACTCTCACCCCTCACCATGACTACACAGGGAGCACTGTCCACCCTCACCATGACCACACAGGGAGCACTCTCACCCCTCACCATGACCACACAGGGAGCACTATCCACCCTCACCATGACTACACAGGGAGCACTGTCCACCCTCATCTTGACTACACAGGGAGCACTCTCCACCCTCATCATGACCACACAGGGAGCACTATCCACCCTCACCATGACTCCAGCCTCTGCCATCAAAGTACAACCTGCAGAACAAAGTGCCCCTTCTAGGTATCTGAGGACTTGCAAGAACCTTCTAGCTTTTCAAATTATTATTCTTTTTTTTTAATTCTTTGTGGATTTCACATCATACATTCTAATCCCACCTACCTCCCTGTCCCCTTGCCACCTTTCCCCCAAAACAAAACAGTATTTAAAAGAAAAACCAAAACTCCAAGAAACAAAAGGCGAAGAATCACACAGTTTACCCTTCAGTCCATTCATCTTCATTTGTCAGTGTTCATTGCCATGAGTTCTGGCTTCAGTTACACCACTGATAATGGGCTCTCACTGGGGCTCCTCTCTGCTATCCTGTTGCTGCCCTTTGTCATGAGATGCTGCTGTTTTGGATCTGTAGTTTTGTCCCCTTCGCATGCTCCAACAGTTCATAGATGGGGTGGATGTTGGGGTGACCCGATTCATAGCCAGTCCTGGGCCTGAGTGGTAACTGAGTTGGTCAACCCGCCAACTTTCCCTCATCATCACTGCCTAGGCGAGCTCTTCAGCACTGCCTCAGGCAGCTCCCTCAATGCAGCCTGCAACAAGGACAGGGCCAGTTCTCCTGTTCTCAGGGCCTCAGATCCAGGCACCACACTCACAACACCAGGGCCAGCTCTACTGTTTTGCCCAGGAGAGGTTCAGGGCCCTCTCTCCTGATTGCTGTATGGGGCATGGGGGTGGGAGTGGTCATCTCTCCTGCTCCCACAGCCTCATTTCTGAGAGTTCAAGGTCAATTCAGCCTACATATCAAGTTCCAGGACAGCAGGGCTACAGAGTCATATCATGTCTGGTAAGGATAGGACAATAAATGGAGTTGAGGGTAGGAGTGTAATTGGTCCCCATAAACTCACAGGGAGTCACACTATAAGGAGGTGTGGCCTTGTTGAAGTAGATGTAGCCTCGTTGGAGGAAGTGTGTCACTGTGGGTGCAGCCTTTGAGGTCTCCTGTGCTCAGGCTACACCTAGTGTGGACACAGACTCCTTCCTGTTGCCTGCAGATCAAGATGTAGAACTCTCAGCTCCTTCTCCAGCACCAAGTCTACCTGCATGCTGTCTTGTTTCCTGCCATGACAATGGGGTAAACCTTTGAACTGTAAGAGAGCCTCCATTAAATGTTTTCCTTTATAAGAGATGTATTTGAAAAACAAAAACAAAGACAAAAAGCTGGGTAGTAGCACATGCCTTTAATTCTAGCACTTGGGAGGCACAGGCAGGCCAATCACTGTGAGTTTGAGGCCAGCCTGGTCTACAGAGCAAGTGCCAGGACAGCCAAGGCTGTTACACAGACAAACCCAGTCTCAAAAAACAAAAACCAACAAGAGAGAGAAAGAAAGAAAGAAAGAAAGAAAGAAAGAAAGAAAGAAAGAAAGAAAGAAAGAAAGAAAGAAAGGAAGGAAGGAAGGAAGGAAGGAAGGAAGGAAGGTAAAAAGCTCCGAGGCAAAAGGTAGATCTAGAGAGACAGGTTCGTTTAAGTTCAAAGAGCTAGCCAGAAATGAGCCTATGCTAGGCCAAGCATTCGAAACTAATAGTAAGTCTTTATGTCATGACTTGGGAGCTGGTTGGTGGCCTAAAAGAAAAGGCCTGGTACAGACTCTGTATCTACCACAGAGATACCTGCTCTTCTACGTTCGTTTCTGCCTGTTCACATTAGCCAGGTAATGGAAACAGACTAGATGCCCACCAACTGATGAATGGATAATGAAAATGTGGTTTGTATATGCAATGAAATATTATTAGGCTGTTAAGAAAATAAAATTATTAAATTTGTAGGCAAATGGATGGAGCTGGAAATAACTACTCTGTGTGATACCCAGACCCAGGAAGTTAGGGCCACATATTCTCTCTCACACATTCATGCTAATTTTCAATCTTTAGATGTGTGTTGAGATTGTAGTACCCTTAAAAGTCAGGAACTGATAAGGGGTCATTGGGGGGATTTCAGTGGAGGAGAGATATAATGTAGGTGCTGTGAGGGGAAAGGGTAATGGGAGAAGAAGGGTTAATTGGGTGAGGGTGAGAGGGCAGGAAGGACAGTGAGCATGGGAAGGATAACTAACACTAAAGACCTTTGACAGAGCCACATGGAAACCTACAGCTGCAGAAGTTTCCTAAAATATAGACTTATATGAAAAGTTTAAATGAAGTTAGTCTATGACGGGTGTGGGGTAGGTTGGCAGTGTCTCTTCCACATACCACAGGCATCAAAGAAATCCGTTTGTTAAGGAGGGGTTACCACTTATCAAGTTGTTGGTCAATTGGTCCTATGAGTCTCCCAGGTGTTACTGACTATTGCCAATAGACTTGGTTGCTCTCTAAAACTTGCTATAATAAGACCCCGTTGCTGAACATATCACACACTTGAACCATAGAACATGGAGAAATGAAGATAGTACCAACATGGAAGCTTCATCTCTGCTCCCTTTCATGGTGCTGGAAATAGCCGTGAACACTATTGGTACAGAAAAGTAATTGTAGGCAGAGTCCTCCTGTCCCTAACCACCTGTTCCCAAATACCTGGAAGCAGCTTCCCAAATAATTGATTCAGAGGCTTAATATTAATTAAAAATGTTTGGCCAATAGCTCAGGCATATTACTAACTAGCTCTTACAACATCAATTAACCCATTTCTATTAAACTACATTCTACCATATGACTAGTGGCTTTACCTATCCTTCAGCATGTCCTGCTCCCTCTGTGGCTCCTATCTCTTCACCTTCCTGCCTGGCTACTGGCCTGTCAGCTTTTTATTAACCAGTGAGGGTAATACATATTCACAGTGTACAGAAGGATTATTCCACAGAACATAATCACTTGTCTTATGAAGCTATGAAACCTGTGAGTTACAATGACTGATCTGGCAAGATAAGCCCTTTCTTGAAATAATGGTCCAAACATTATAGGAATAACTTACCACCTTATGATTGGATTTAAGGTCCACTCCACAAGACAGGACTCCTGCCAGATATGGTTAACTGAACCAAGCACCCATGACTTGGTAAATCATAGGCCCTAGAGGAAAGTCTACTATCATTACTCTGCTAAAGGAACATACACTGCCACCTAAGTACTTACCTTTACCTTTATTCCCATAGTATGTCTCTCAAACTCCATCCAGAGAAGTTTCTCTTTGTAGTAGAGGGTGACTAATACAGAGACTGCAACTGGTCAACATGCAGAGAATAAAAGATGCTAGAGTGCTCAGCTCCAAAAGGTGTATCTATAAGACACATACACACACATACACACACACACACACACACACACACACACACACACACACACACACACAGACTCCATACACACACACCCTACTCAGGTCATTGTGGGAGAGGGGGCAGTAAGAAAAGATTGTAAGAGCTGGGGGCATTGGATGCCTACAGCAAAAGTACTTTCTGGACATGAGCTCAGAGCGGCTGTGCCTACATGCACAAGGTCTACACAAGAACAAGCCAACTAAAATGTCAGCATGGGTAGCAGGGATGACAAAGTCAAATCCTTATCTAAGGCACTACTGACAACTGATGAGTACCAGGGAGTTTTTCTTCATGGATTCAGCCCCTGAGAAGTTACCCATGATCTGGTAGCCTCTTGGACTGTGTATTCAAAGCTAGCCTGGTCTACACGGAGAGTTCAAGGTGAGTC